AACACTGGTTGTTCTTGCAGAAGACCCGGGTTCAAATCCCAGCACCCACATGGCAGCTAACAACTGTCCGTAACTTCAGTTTCAGGGGATCAGATGGCCTCTTCTGTCTTCCACAGGGATTACACAACATGGGTACACTACACTCATACACAAACTAAACTAAAATAAAAATTTTCTTTTAATTTCACAGACTAGACACCCTTAGCTCAGTGGTGAGGCCTGGGATGTAAGTGGTACAACATGTGCAGCACTTACTGAATCTCCAATAGTGTTCAAAGAAAAAGGAAAAGGGAAGAAAATTCTCACATAAAATTAGAGAAATCATATAAGAAACCAATAATTGCTGGTCAGCTGTTTTCAGAATTTTGCAAGTTGCATCCAAAAGTCACACTGAGTTGCAGAAAGGGAGTAAAGAAGTAGGTCGAAAAAGGGTCTTGTGAGTGAGTGCAAGTACTGCTGGGAGAAGCGCCTGCAAGGTCAGCAAGGACCAGTCACGGCCATCTTTTGTTGACTGTCCAGAGCAGGGTCATTCATTTGGAACCAGCAGTGGGAATTACCCAGGTGGAGAACATGTGTTAGGAAAAGGGTAGAGAGTGGGAGTACAGAAGGCTTGTTTACAGATGGTGATGACCGCTAAGGGGCAGAGTGCAGCCAAACTAGCTGTGATGGATATTGATAAAGTCCTTGACTGTGAGGCAGATTCTGTCCTTGCTCCATTCTGTAGATGACGGAGAAGGGGCTAAGAGTATCCCCATGATTGTACACACTTAGTCCAGGTTGCCTGGGTCTAGAGCCCAAACTGTTCCCAAGACTGTTGGCCAGAGGAAATAGAGTCATTTCTTTTTTGTTTTATGTGTATGAGTGTTTTGCTTGCATGTAGAGTGCAGAGGCCAGAGGAGGGCCTGGCATCCCCTGGAACTGGAGCTAAAGAGTTTGTAGCCACCATGTGAATGCTTGGAACCAAACCTGGATCCTCTGGCAGAACAGCCAGTGCTCCATCCACCTTTTTTTTTTCCACTGTTGCCACAGGGTCTCTCATTGGCCTGGGGCTCCCCGAGTATAGACTAGACTAAGCTAGCTGGCTAGCCAGTAAATGCTAGGGATCCTCCTGTCTTCTCCCCAGTGCTAGGTTTACAAGCACAAAAAAAACCCAGACTTTTTACTGTGGACACTCCAGGTCTTCTAGGTAGCTTTAAGAGTGAATTGAGAGGCTGAGGGACCAAATATACCTATGTATCCAGCTTCTTATCTTTTGAGGTACCTACTGGGCAGCAGAGCTGAGGAAGAAAGGGCCAGAGGTGGGCCAGCAAAGTGGCCCAGTGGGTAAGGGTGCTTACCACCAAACCTGATGACCAGAGTTTAATCCCTTTGACCCTCCTGGTAGAAGAACACAAGACTCCCATCAAGTTGTCTTCTGTATTCCACATGTACATCATGGCATGCCTGTGGCTGTCTGCACACAAATAAATGTTAGGATTTTTTTTTTAATTCTTAAAAAAAAATTTTTTTTTTTTTTTTGGTCTTTTTGAGAAAGATTTTCCCTGTAGCCCCCGCTGACCTGGAACTCCCTATGTAAACCAGGCTGACCTGGAACTCACAGTGATCCACTTGCCTCTGCCTCCTGAGTATTGGAATTAAAGGTGTGAGACACCACCCCTGGCCTTATTTTATTTTTTTGAGACATGATCTCAGTGTATAGCCCTGGCTGACCTGCAGTTCCCTGTGTAGACCAGGCTGGCCTTGAACTCACTGAGACCCACCTCCCAAGTACTGGGATCAAAAGCTTGCACCACCATTGGACAAGCTGACTTCTCTTTCTGTAGACATTGATCAGCTTATCACCATCAGTGGCATGGTCATCAGAACATCCCAGCTGATCCCTGAGATGCAGGAGGCCTTTTTTCAGTGTCAAGTGTGCGCCCAGACGACTCGAGTGGAAATGGACCGAGGCCGCATTGCTGAGCCCTGCACCTGTGCACGCTGCCACACCACCCACAGCATGGCATTGATCCACAACCGCTCCCTCTTCTCTGACAAACAGATGGTATGTGATCACTCTATACCCAGGATGTACTTACTGTTCCATTGTTTCTGCCCATTTCACTCCTCAGTCTTCCTGAATGACATTCAGCTCTTTCCACTCCTTTCTGATTGAGTGTAGGTTTTGTGAGGCTTCAGAATTGGTTTGCCAAGTTTCAAACATGAGTAGGTCTAGGCTATGCAAAGGTTTGAGCTTATTGTTTGGGGGGAATTTTTTCCCTTTTTTTTGGAGAGGGGTTTTTTTATTTCTTGTTTTCCATGGTGCTTTCCTTATTTCTCAAGTTCTCCCTTCACCTTTCTTCTTTAGATCAAACTTCAAGAGTCTCCTGAAGATATGCCTGCTGGGCAGACGCCTCACACTGTTGTTCTTTTTGCCCACAATGATCTTGTAGATAAGGTTCAGCCTGGGGACAGAGTGAATGTAACAGGTAAGAATGTGGGTTTGTGACAACAGAATAGGCGGTCTTTCCTGCTTTTAATGCCCCTCTAATGGGTCCTGAAACTCCCTCATCAGTTCACTGGAGTGGAGTTTTTCTTTCTGCCATTGTCAATTGCAAATCTTTGAGGCTGTGGGAAGAATCTCTGTTCTACCCATTTTTTTATTTATTTTTATTTTATGTGTATACATGTAGGTAAGTGCACCCATATTGTGCAGTGCCCGCAGAGGACAGAAGAAGCTGTCGGATCCCCTGGAAGTGGAGTTATGGACAGTTGTTAGCTGCAATGTGGGTGCTGGGATTCGAACCTGGCTCTTTTGCAGGAACGGTCAGTGTTCTTAACCTCTAAGCCATCTCTCCAGCCCTTACCCATTTTATTTTTTTAAAAAGTGCCGTGGCCCAGCACTTTCAGTTCTTGTGGTTTTAGGACTTGTGGTCCCTTGCTACGTAGACCCCTCAGAGCTTTGCATGGGTCTCAAATGGGTAGTGTTAATGCCACAAGAGAGCAGCTTCAGGACAAGGCCGGTGTTGATAGGATTTGATTTGTGACACCAGCTTGCGGAAAGAGTGCCAACTTGGGATTCATGAATAATTTTCCTACTTATTTCTCACATGCACAGCTAAGAGTTAACATTCACTCATAGAGAAGAGCAGGGCAGAGCACTTTGCTTCTATATGGGAAGGCTGACGTCATCTTGTGGGTCTCTGCGGTTCATTGCTACAGTGAATCCTATTTCTAGTTTCCAGATGTTGTTTTTTCCTGTCAAGAGTGCCCTTTCCATGATGCAATACATATAAGTGTGGCAAGTCCAACATAAAAGCCAGCCAGTTGTCACTAGCAGTCTTAAGTTGTAGAAGTATGTAGTAGTGGAAAATGTAAAAGTATGTGTAATATAGCCTTTAGAGAAAGAGACAAGCAATCCCAGTTAGGCCTTGAAACCTTTGGTAAGGTATTTGGTCCAATAGGTTAGTTTCCTCAGCTGCAAAAAAGTGATAGTTAAGCATATGAAAGTATTTGAGGAAAGCAGGTGTACCAAATACTGAGTAGGTGTAAGTTAAGTGTCATCAGTGCTTTTCTGTGGAAGGAAATCCCAGCCCGTGCCTGTAGAACCAAACTGGCTCTTCCACTTGAAATGTCATTAGTATCACCTATCAGAGTATAGTTTGTATTCTAGGAATGCTACATATAAACTGGGTTTTGTTTTGTTTTTTAGATTCATTATTTTTTATGTCTATGAGTATATTGCCTGCATGCAAGTAAGTGCATCCGTGTTATGCAATGCCTGTGGAGGTCAGAAGAGGGTGTCAGATTCCCCTGGAACTGGAGTTACAGATGGTTGTTAACCACCATGGGCTGCTGGGGATCAAACCCAGGTCCTCTGCAAGAACAGCCAGTGCTCTTAACCACTGAGCCGTGTCTCCAGCCCTTGTTGTTGCGTTTTTGAAATAGAGGTCTCCCAGTTCCTGCTGGCCTGGAACTCACTTTGTACAACAGGCTACCTTCACAGCAATCCACCTACCTCTGCCTCCCAAGTGCTGATATTATTAAAGGCTTGCACCACCAAGCCTGGCTATTTTTCATGTTTTAAATAAGAATTATATTGACCTATCAAGTAAAAGGACCACGGCCTGTGCTAGGAAGGAGAGGTCAGGCTTAATTCTCAAGTAGAGGAAGGCTGGTGAGATGACTCAGTTGATAAAGGCATTGCCATGCAGTTGTGATAACCTGAGTTCAATCCCTAGGTTCCATATGGTGGCGGGAGAGCATCAACTTCTAAAAATTGTCTACTGACCACCCCCTGTAAAACACAGTTTTTTTGTGGGGTTTTGTTGTTGTGTTTTTGTTTTTGTTTTGTTTTACGCCCAGTGTTTTTAAGAAGCAGGAAACAGAATTAGCCTGGAGTTCAAGGATTTGAAATCCAAAAGATAAGCATTAGATATACTGCTTTAGAAAACCTTCTTTGGGAGGCAGTGAGTTAAAATGTTAATTGCTACTCCCCCCTCCCTGGTCTTTTTGAGACAGGATCTCCCTGTAGCCCCAGCTGACCTGGAACTCACTGTGTAGACCAGGCTGGCCTTGAACTCACAGAGATCCCCCTGCCTCTGCCTCCCGAATGCTGGGATTAAATACGTGTGCCACCACACCTGGCAATTGTCTAGTACTTTTAATTTCTCTAAATTACATTGTTTTGGGGTGGGGGGAGGGTGTGGTA